CCATCGCCAAGCGATCCAAAGCGCTCTGGACGGATTATGGGTCGTCCCCCAGCAAGGCGATGTCATCGGCATAGTCCAAGTCTGTGAGTCTGTCTCCAGGGAGAAGCTTAACACCGCAGTCCTGGACACCTTCTAGTGCTCTTTGGAGAACATCTTCGATGGCGAAATTGAAGAGGAAAGGTGAAATAGGGCAACCTTGGCGAACACCGCTGGTCACAGCAAATGAAGTGGAGTGCGTGCCGTAAGCCCTAACTTTGCCCGACGTGTGACTGTAAAGTACTTTTAGGATAGTTACAAACCTGTCGGGCACACCTTTCTTCAGTAAACAGTTTCACAATGCAGATCTATCTACTGAATCAAATGACGCTCGGATGTCCAAAAACAATACGATTGTTGGCCGCCGGTGGATGTGACGAAGTTCGAGAATTTGCCGAAGCGTGAAGATTTGGTCGATGCAGCCAGGCACAAAACATGGAACGCGTCCAACACGTTGACGCCAAGCTCATTCCAAGTTTAGGAAGAGTATCACACGAAGACCTTTGCGAGATACTAAGATTCTACACCTTATCTATTGTTGGGCGCGAATCGATCTTATCGTGACCCATCGCATATTGCACCTCGACGACTTCCCGATGTTGAGGCCACCATTCCACTTGTGAACACCAAGCAGCACAAGCAAACACCGGTGCAAGCTTGTGGCGACGGATATAAAGGTTGCTAGTTTTAAGTGCATTCCAGAGTACAGTGGAGAAGATGGCAACACTAGATGTTCCGGCCTCACCTAGTGGGCAGTTTAAAGGCGAACTACAAGAAGTAATCGCCGGTTCACCACTCCATAACCACGTCACTTCCCATACGAGATTCAGAAGGGGGGACAAACCGGCCATTTTGGACCTCATCTTCACCAATGAGGAATATGTGGTTGACACAGTGACAGTGAATGGCCTCCTGAGAGACGCAGTGATCATGCAACGCTGCGTTTCCGTTAAGTCTGCTACGCGGAACAGTCCAACAGGGAAATCGAACAGGTCCGCATAATAACACATGACAACATGTTATCCGACCTCATTAAGATCAATGATTGGTCGTTTCTAGAGGAACAGCCTCCTGATGTCGCTTGGGAAAAGTTCCTCAGTCAGTTCAACACCTTAGTAACAAATGCGTCAGATACTAAGACCCCTAGCTCAAAAATGCAAAGTCCTTCCTGAGGCGCAGGACGCGGAAACGAAGGGCCATGCGAGATTTAGTTTAGAAAGCATACTAATCTGATCCAAACGTTGGAAACTGGATTGCCTACAAAACTGAGCGAATTAACTGTGTTAAACCGGCCCGCGAAGATAAATTGAAAAACCAACAGGATTTGGCGAAAAAGTTCCGCTGCAATCCTAAGCTACTTTTATAGGCATGTTAACAAACTTTGCAAAGTACAGCGTGGAATCCCTCCTCTAAACATCGTCAGTGGTCAAGCGCAAACTACCAAAGAAGCAGCTAACACTCTTAGACATCAGTTCGCTTGTACTTTCCAGAAAGCATCACCATCTCACATCATTCTCACACATCACAAAAGCACCAGGTCTTAGTCACATCTTCACAACCGCAAAAGTGCTGAAACAACTGCTATCACTACGCGAGTATAGTTCACATGGTCCAGATTGCATATGCCTCAAGTCATTGATGATAGCTGCTGCGTGTTTGGTTGAACCATTATCTCAGTTTTCCAGTGCCGGCTCGACGAGATGCATGTCCCAACAACGCGGAATCGTGGAATAGTCACTCTCGTTTACAAAGGAGTCAGTCATGTGGTGCCCACAAACTACTCTTCTTCCCGTACTTGCTAAAGTCATGGAATCTGTCGTTGCAGATGCACTTATGGAATACTTATAAAGGTGCTATATCAGGGTGCAAGAGCAGCATGGATTCCATCAAAATGGCTCATGTACCACGAATCTTTTGGTAGCCCGTGCTAGCTGGACTGAATCCGTCGATGCTGGAGAAGGAATGGACGCCGCTTAGCTTGATTTACCTAAGGCATTTGATCGCCTTGATCACCAGATTCTTTATCATAAACTTCGGAGATACGGACCCCGTGCCCCTATTCTGGGCTGGATCAATTCATACCTACTCCAACGACGCTTGAATGTTCGAGTTCGTAGCACCCAGTTCTACCCGATAGAGGTTCACTGCGGCGTCCCTCAACGCTTGGCACTTGGGCCATAGTTATTCCTCGTGTTCATAAACGGCCATGCGGGAGTGTTGACGTCGAACCTTTTACTCTTTGCGGACAATCTCAAGATTTGGCGGGTAATTAAACGAGTAGACGACCAAATAACTATGCAACGCGAGCTCGACAGCGTTTAGGAGTGGTCCACCCAGAACAAGCTTGCATTTAACCCTGCCAAATGCAAAATAATGAGCATATGGCACCAGAGCACCTACCCAAATCATCTGGGAGAACATGTCCTACAGTGCGCTTTTTATAGATGTGACCTTGGGGTGCTCGTTCAGGACGATCTCGGATGCTCCAAGCAGGCTGAGATAGTAGTGAAACATGCCAGCCAACACTTAGGCCTCCTGCAGAGGGTGTTTGGCCGGTTTGACCCTACCTTCTTATCGCAAATGCACAATGCTTACGTGAGACCACACACTGGATACGCAAACCAAGCTTGGCATCCATAGCGAAAACGTGACCACACTGCTCTCAATAAACCACTATGGAGGGCGACAAAAACGTGAAGGGATCGCTCCACCTCCCCTACCAGTTGAGACCAAAGATGCTAGCAGCATTTAGTGAACAATATCGCCTTCTGTGAGGTGATCTCATAGTTATCAGATCCTTAGTGACCCCAACTACCCATGGCAACAATTGTTGAAACTCAGCCACCATTTGAAGTTGGCGACACAGTATAGTCAGGTGGAATGCCGCCAGAAAATTTTCTCATCTCGTGTATCCCAGCCGTGGAACTCACTTCCGCATTTTGCCATATCTGCTCCTCTGTTGTCCGAATTCAAAACGCGATTTGGTGATGTCTTACACCACCTGGATTACATGATTTAGCCCAAGTTAATGGGACACGCAACAACAACGTAAGCAAACAATGTGCATACTTGAAACTTACGGTAAGTCCATAGGGCTACGCGCGTATTTTTGAAACATTAATTTTTGATCTCACTCTTCATTTACGGAAACCTGTTAAGCATGTGTCTTTATATCGGTGATAAATCCATTGTTTCCTGTTGAGGACTGTGTGGTTGAGGAATTGACGGATGGCGGCAGAACAACCTCATCGGCGGAGGCAGGGTTGTTCACAGTTGAAGAATCAGGTAACAATGTGGATGAATGATACAAGCAAAGGGTGAGTAAATTGGTGGCTTGTGTTTGTAAAGTTGGAGTAGTAGCAGGACAGTGGACCACGAGATCGAAAAAGTGTGAACGTAATTGTGTGGTTCCATGGTTCATCAGCAGGCGAGATACTACGCGGTTACCCAGGCCGACGTAAGTGGATTGTCTTAGGGGAGCACGGCCCCGAGCATCTGGCCAGAAGGCGTAATCCACTAAAGGTAGCAGGGAGAAATACGGTTTTCGTACTCGTTGGGAGCCGGTCACTGAACATTCAGCTCATGCGCCGTTCAGGTGACGAAAAGCCATACCAGGGGCCAAACAGTCGATAAGTCGAAGGCAGAATCTCATCATGCTAGGATTGTTTGCTGATGTACAAGCTCTCCGAGGAAGACAAAGGGTAGAGATTCGATTTAGTGGTGAGTCACATCCACCACGTCTCAATATTGTTAAGCAGACACTTGTGACTTTGTACAGGGAGAACGCTTACCAATGGTAAATCCACTAAGTCTTGGAACATTGCCGCCGAATCATTCGCTGAAACCGGGGAATACACGATTCGCCCCGCTGGCACCACGGGGAGGTTGGATGGCAAGACAGCGTAATTAAGACTTTCCTGATCAACGGAAGACCGAAGAATGACCGATACGGTCGGGTGCATTCGAGCACAGAAGTCAACACGCTGCGTGGGTGCTGGCGCTCGGTTAGAGACCAATCAACCCACCCAGGTCTTAAAAAGGACGGTAAGCCCCTTTCACTAGCTGAACGACAACAGCCTACAAACAGAAACCTGATTCCAGGTTAACGCATACATCCATGGGGTAGTGGTATTAATGGTGAATTCCTACCTGCACGTACTTGGACGGATAGCGACTTGGTATTGTGCTTGATGGCGTTCCCAGATGTCCGGGAGAAATGATCAATCAGTTGTCACCGATAATGTATTGATTTCGATCAATCGCATGTTCCACGGCCACATGTAACGGCGTAACCTGCCCAGGATTGACTGGACAGGCATCGTACTGGTAATTTTAGCGACCATTCTGTTCTATAATCCAAACGCCATTGGGTAACTTATAAATACGGCTAAGGTCTATTTCCATGATGCGGTATTTCTGGGTAGCGGTTAATACATTGTTCATACCATTTAGTTGGACTGTGCCTCGCACTACCGAGGAATATACCCCTATTTGCCATTATATTTTATCAAGATCATTTGACTTTTGATTTGCCACCCGTTGGGCTAGCAGTCATGCCGAGTTGAGTTTGCAAATTCGCAAACAAAGTGGAAGATTTAACAGTAAATGTAAGAGGTAGTCGCTCGGGTAAGTCTTTCAGAAGTAGACGGAGAGAGTTACGTAAATTAAACGCGTGAGGAGCAGTTTCATTACCTCATGATCAATAACAGTGATACCTAAGAGAGACGGAGTTCATAGACATACCGGTCAGCAAGTGGGACGCAATATGACATTGCTTTTGTAAAGTTACCACTGACTGCAGGTTTGTGACTGCTAAGAATGCATAAAATGACCTCGTCATCGCACAACTTACATCTATTGAGTTCCTCATTTAGAATTATAAAGAACAATATGCGACAAATCTGTGTGTGCAGGAGCCAGTCACAAAAAATCTTAAAATTGGTGCCACTTGAAATGCCAAGCGACTAGATTGTTAGGGCATCGCTTCCAAGGGATAGGGAGGCGTGATGGAATGCACTCACCATGTCCACCAACGCGATGTACACAAACATGCCGGCAGCCAGCATAAATAGCCAGCTGTCGATGTTTTCGGTTTGTCCGAGCACAAGTCCGATGGCAGCTCCGACCGCGCACAAGAGGCCAGAGAGGAAGTTGTAAAACAATGCTGCCTTGACCGACATCCCAGCGTGGAGAAGCACGGCAAAGTCACCTGCAAGGGGAAACACATACAAGAGAGCGAGCCATGATATCAACAACTAGAGCACATGCAGAATGAGACCAGAGGTGTGGAAATGTGAGAATGAGGTTCTATGGTAGGAAAGAGGGATAACAAATAGGCGATATAACAAGGCAAAAAATTTGAGAACACTTTGGGAGTCAAAAGAAAAACAAAAGGAGTTAACCAATCGGCGAATGGCGGTGAAGTCGGCTTTCATGGAAAAAAGTGGAACCCCATTCCTCCAAGAGGAAATAAGATTCGCTGCTGGCTCTTGTCAGGCATTTGCGCAAGGAGGATACGAGTGAATAGATACGGTAGCTCGGTATATTCGTTTGCGTTGGCGTACGCCAGCATGATCATGAAAGTACTGATAAAAACCAATAGTCTTGATGACATGTACGCATCGAATAATTGATTCTCAACTCATGCATTACAAGTAGATAGGGAAATATGAGTTGTGCAGGAATCATGTGAATTCGCGAAGTTATAAAATTTTAGCTGTACTTCTGTCTTCATTGTGCTGTCGAACCATGTCAATTGATGATGATAAAATTGATAGTGAGTAGACGGATTTGGGTATGAATTGTATTTAGCTCATCGCAATTGGCTTACAAGCCGCACAGAAAAAGTTACCAATCAAAAAGCACAAGACGACCGTTTCGCCCTACTTGGATCGAACCCATGACTGATGGCAGCTTATGCCACTAAGCCGTGGGGGACGATAGCCGGTCATTACGGATAGAAATCTAACTGCGATATGGCCCGACCTATCCTTCACTGCCATGCGGGTTACTGTCTGTGCAGAAGACAGTGGTTGATCGTCCGGGTCAGGACTTCCCTTGCCAGTGCCATGAAAACACACAGCATTTTGCAGACTGGTAAGGATTAGATGACAAAATTGACATCAAGGAAAAAATATAAAAGATCAACTTGAGAAGGATTACAGGATGTGCGCGTAGCTGTCTAAAGGGTTTGTAGTTAGGGGAGCAAGGGCTAGTATGAAACAGCTCCATTTCGTCTGGTGTTTCGAGAATCATCGTCCTGAAAGATAGTGCATACATCCCTGGATTTACCACATGACATCATTTTCAACCGAACCGCCAGCTATATTGCGCTGTAGACAACATCTTGACCAATATGCTCCCTCCAGGTGCAACTTCTGAGGTAAATTTATGCAATTAGCTGGAAAAGAGTGTTATCAAAGCTTAGAAACAATCCAAATGAAATTGACGAGGTTCACAAGACGAAAAGTCAAAGATAAACGTGGGTGCAAGAGTGCAGTGTCGTACTAGCTAATGGCCCATGAGCACAATTCAACTATAAAGTCCATCTCACACAATGACTGGTCCCCTAAAACGTCCGTTCGGCCCAAAGCACGACAAGTAAAGCGCAGCAAATGATGTAGCCATCGCACATGGGACTCGCAAGAGTTAACAAGACTGGGGAAACGGTGCGGATAACATGGAGCAAAGGTGGATCACCTTGCAACTGCACCTTGTAGACCGAACGCAAGTCTAACCTATTATAATTACTCAATCGCCTTCATAATCTGTCGACCTGTGCTATACGGTACTTCCCAAGCCCTATCTCAGAGGAACTCACATTAGAGAGACCAATGGTGAGGGGTCAGATAAGTTCAGCAGCAGTTGAGCTGGTTGCCGTCTTCGAAGAGGTTGGGTGGACCACATTTTTGGGCACAGGCAAATGCATCATATAAGCCTTGAGGGATGTTTATGGCTCGGCTGAAAGCGCCTGACATGAGCAAACCTATAGAGGAAATTCCTTGCTTCTTTTTTCGTACATGGATGGACGCTACAGGTTCGCTCGCCTACCAGAGACGTTAAGATTTTTGTGACGCACTTCAGGTGTGGCACAACCAGTGCACTGACATACAGTCTTAGCAACTAGGTTGTCCTAACTAATCTACAAGACCGCACCATCAGCAACAGAGGCCTCTTATCACACTTGAGAAAATACCATCAACAACACAAAGTGGACCACAACCGGTTCTATTTGATTCTTAGATTCTTTGAGATACGCTTCTTCTACAGACAGCCAAAGCATTGTTAGTAATGTACTCTACCGAAACCCAAATTAATGGATGGACCTCATAACTCCTATGCAATCTAGAGAAACAGATACAGCCTCGCCATATAACACTCTTACTAAAGGAGTTGCGCACCGTCTAAAACGGTTGTGTCACAGATTTAATAAGACGGAGAATATAAGTGTGGTTACACAGACTAACAAGGTCCTACAGAGCTTGCTGGTTCAGTATGCAAGAAGACTAATGTCTCAAGCGACACAAGCGCCAATAACTCCCAGTAGCCGATATCTGTCAAACGCATATTGGGAGACAGATACGGGACAAAACGTCACTTACCTCACTGGACAGAAGCTATATGATCGATCCCACAGATATATGTGAGTTATCTACTGTGTTCTACATAGTTTGGTAAGAGCACAAGCAAAATTGCATCCCATTACTAATGAACTACGAGACACGGTGGATTTCAATAACGTGTGACCATTTGCAGGCAGACAACAGTCTTAAAGCTCTCATCTTACCATGGGTCGATGATTTGCTACCAGCATTACTTAAACCTGGTTAGTATGATATCTAATTGTTTTTGTTGAATGTATGCATAACATCATTGAAAGCTGGCATCTACACTTTTAAGTGGAAGCACCCTCACCTTACACCCCAACGCAGACGAGGTTACTCTCACGATATGGTCAATTTCCGCCACTTGACTACACTTTATACTGACAAAAAATGTGGAAATAATAGTCATGAAATGGTTAAATGCGAATAACCTGACTGAAAAATTGCACAACGGATTCCTCCGGGCTCGATCGTGTCAAACTAGTCAGTTCGAAGCTCTGCAGCACGTAATCAAGTCGTCTGACTCCGGAATAGCGGAATAAGCTATTCAAGCGTGGCAACCCTGGCTCAAGCACCATCTCACCGCACTCGACACTGCCCAACGTAGGGCAATGAAAAGCGTCAGAGTTTGGACCAGCCTCCCCTACCCACTCAGGCTGAAGACCCTTAAAATCTACAGTGGACGTTATCGGCGTCTAAGGGGCGATCTCATAATGGTGTACCTGATCCTGAGAAACCTCAACCACCCATGCCATTTCCTTCTAATACTCAGTCAAAACACCTCTCTAAGAGGTCACCAGTTTAAGTTAGTCACGCAGTACAGCCGCTTGGAATGTCGGCGAAAGTATTACTCCCTACGAGTGGCACAGCCTTGGAACGCCCTCCCGGAACATGTAATTAATGCACCCACCCTATCCCGTTTTATAAAACGCCTCGACGATACTCTGTCACATTTACACTACGTGCTATAGCCCATGACCACCAGATGCTGGCACCAATGCACAACAGACGGTGGATAGTGCCATAACCCTACTCGAGAATGAGTCACTCCAAACCCCTTGCATAAAATTTGATAAACGCTGCTACTATGGAAACTAGATTTCTGTATCCCGTCGACCCAAGATAGTTGCACACGAGTAAGCGTAGTCGTTGCTGTTTTTTATTTTTTTCTCTCGACTATTGCTTTGTGTGTGTACATTCTCATTTCAAACTCCCTTTATACGGCAGTGCAGTTGAATCAGTACTCGCCCAAACTGACGACTCCATTATCGCTTGATCTATCTTTTCTCACTCTTAACATCCTACGGGACATGTCAAGCACCTGCTCTTTTACCCGTTATAATTCATTGTTCATTGTTATAGTTTTCTGAAACATGGAGAAAGCATTCGATCATGTATCCCATTCAGAACTTCGGATAAAGATGGCCTCTTGTGTGATTGCTAACCAATACTAACGTGACTGTCATTTTTATTTATTTGTACGCATCTAATGCGGAAAAACTAGGAACTGTATATCAAAACCTAGTTCAGAGATTAGTGATGCCATAAGGAAGTGTTCTAGGCCCACAGATAAACGACATTGCTCGAACTTTGCGGCAAGGAAAACCATTTTTTCCCTGATGACATTACCTACGTGTTTGCGTTTGACGGTAAGAATAAAACCAATGGAGCCCTACACTCGTCCGTGGAGGTGTCGCTTCGAATGCCGGTCTAGACGATGTGTGGGCATTGCTCTCAGACCCCAGGATGAGGCTCAACACTAGATTGGATCCCAGTGAACAATCGGGTGTGCACCATCAGACCATTTGGCTTGTAAGAAGACAATATGTGTCTGCTTGTTGTCGCTGAACACGCCTCCACAAATTGTAGCATTGACTTGGTGAAGGATGTTATCTATCGTCAACTGAACGAGTTCCTTCGTCGCGAGAAGGGTACGGATACTGTAGTGCATGTTGGTAAGCTAAACATTTAAATTGGAAAACTGTCCACTGATGAGCTGCATCTGGGTGGCCAACACGGTGTAGGCTTCCGTAACGAGAACACTGAGTAATTGCAACATATGTGTGAAAATGGTCTATTTCTCGAGAGTACCAACTTCCGACACAGTCCGCATCGCAGGTTTACATGACACCCATCAGCTTCGGATCAGATAGACTCAAGTCGATCACATCATGATCAGTTACCGCTGTAAAGGTTCCGCCCAAAAAGGTCACTCGAACTGAAGCGCAACCTTGAACTCCTATCCCATACTTGGATGTGATGACCTGCGAGTGTGTTTCGGCGGAAGTCCGTGAGGACGCTGTGATCGTATAGACATTCACTGACTAGCGAAACATATTATTCTGAATGTGCGTCAAAGTGTGTTGGCATCAGAGTTCAGTAACTGCACACTGAAAACAGCCGATGACCACTGGTCGCATGTTCACCAGCTTTTATTAGCAGTATGCATGTCTTCATAAAGTAAAAGCTGATTACCAACTTAGACGGTGGGCTTCTACGCAGTCTCGGGAAATCATCAATGTTAGTCGATGCATTTCGGCTGGGAGCAAACACGACACTCGCGAAGAATTCAGAGCAAAACTCCGTGCTAGAGTGCTAAGGAGAG